TGGCTCTCTGGAACTAGGAGGGAGAGAAAGGTAGGGCTCTGTGGGAGGGGTAGGGTGAGGAGGTGGGAAGCAGGTGGAGACAGAGCCCTGGCTCTTGAGTGGAAGCTACAAGTGCACTTCCTGGGACAACCCGGAGCCACCAGAAGATGCTGAGAGCCTAAAGCTGGGCAGTGAGTGGAGTGAATGGAAGAAGAGACAGGAGCAGAGCCACCTGGCTCCCTTCTCGACCGGGTTGTCCCAAGAGCTCTGCTGATTGCAGGAGACCCAGAAAAGGCTAGGAGGATGGTGACCCACGGGGACCTTCCCAATGGGGTGCATTCTGGGGGCAGGTCTCCGGCTGCCTGTTTGGAGTAGGACCGAGCCAGTAGTGAACCAGATCATAAAGTGGATGTGGTTCCTCGAGTTACAGTTACCAAGGGCGGTGGCTCGGGGGCCGGGCACCTAGGGCGCACACATCAGGCGCCAGTTCTCCCTCAGCCGTGGCCAGCGCGTCATTTCAGTAAAGCAGCAGTGCTGCCCCGATCCTACCCCGCTCTTCTCCCAGATGCTGGTGGTAGAGCTGCTCCATACCCGAATATCCACCTTTCTGGCCCCCACTCTCCAGCCACTACAGGCCAGCCTGAGCCAGGGGAACGAAGACAAGCAGAGCCTCAGGTCTGGCACTAGTGGTTACCTCGTGAGGCCTGACCCTTGGGCACCCCTGCTCCTTGGAGAAAACTCTCTCTCCCAAGCTGAGCACAGCTCACTACAGTGCTGCCTTACGTGGAGGTCATTGGGTGTCAGGGCTTTCACCCATATACACAACTGATGTCCTCCCCTAGCGTACTCCAAGCCCTCTAATGCAGTGTGGGGCCAGGCCAGCTGTCCCCTCCCTTTATCTGGGTTTTATGTTTCCTATATTTGACCCAGACTCAAAGGGAGGTAGGCTTCCCTGCTCCCCCCTGCCCCGAGATAGTAGGGGACCGTCTTGTTGCTAGACAGGGGCGGGTGACCCTAGCTCTAGCCAATCCCCCTCACTCATCACCTAAAAAAACACCCTTCCTGAACCGGAAGTGTAGCTCAGTGACCCGCTCTGAGACACATACACATTACGGAGGGACTTGGGACGGAACTCGGTCGGTACTCACTAGTATTCACGAGGCCCTGGGTTTGCTCCCCAGCATCACATAAAACTGACGAAGGCACACATCGTGACCCCAGGGCTCACGAGATAGAGAAAGGGGACTAAGCCAGCTAATGCCATTCTAACATCAGAGGACATAGGTGGCAGGTGGCTTGCTTGGCTTCAGGCCACCAGTGTCCTGCTGGCTCTGGTCTTGCCTCTCTAAACTAAGGGCTCTTTACAGTACCTTTGGAAGATACTAATACCTAGGATTTTCTTTTAAAGACCTTTATCTATTTTTAAAGACAAAATTTTAAAATATTTTTTACTTTACGTGTGTAAGGGTTTGCCTGCATGTGTGTATGTGTGCGTCACGTGTCTATCACGTGTATGCCTGCTGCTCGCGGAGAGCAGAACACAGTGTTGGACCCCTGGCACTGTAGTTACAGACAGTTGTCAGCTGCTGTGCTGAGGCTGGGAACTGACCAAGGGTCCTCTGGAAGGGGCCTATCTAGCCCCCCCCCCCCTTATTTTTTCCTTCTCTCCCTTAGCTTCCATTTCTACCTGCTGCTGCTAACCCTGCCCCACCCGAGGTGAGCAGGGAACAAACATTGTCTACATTAGAAAAAAAAGAGGAAAGAAAGGTAACAAGCCCAGGACACGGGCCAAGGACCTGACTCCCACTCTAATGTGCCTTCCAGGCCTCTTAATGCCACTCTAAGGAGATATTATATGGACACAGACCACTCCCCATACCCTCTAATTGACACACTAACTGTCCAGTCTCTCTAACTCCCCTGTCCTCGAGGCACTGATGATATTCCCAGGAACAGTGGGGTGTATTTATTCCCAAGGATATTTGAACCAGGGCTTTCATCTTGATTCCAAAATGGGCATCTGAAGAGTTGCCAATGAACTAAGTATGGTGGTACCTTTAATCCCAGCACTTTCGAGACAGAGGCAGTTGGATTTCTGTGAGTTGAAAGCCAGACAGGGCTACATAGTGACCCTGTCTCAAAAAAAAAAAAAAAAAAAAAAAAAGAAAAAAGAACAGAGTTGCCAATGCTAAGTGAAGGCTACAAGGCTGAGACCATTGGAACTTGTAAAGATGAGGGAGGGAGGGAGGAAGGGAGGGAGGGAGGGAGGGAGGGAGGGAGGGCTAGAAGCCACATGATGTGTCTTTCCACCCTGGACCCTCCTCCCTCCTCACATACCTTCATCCCCTGCCCCCTCAGCATTCCCTGCCACATCCTCTTGGTATCACTCCCTGCTAAAATCTTTGTGAAGCTTGCCTCTGTTATCAAAGTAAGGTTACCCACCCCCCAGCCAGACACATGAGGCCCTTTGCCATCCTGCCTCTGCCCGCCTTTAAGGTCTTCCTTGCCCTTGTAATATGTTTCACAATATCACAAACATTCTAACTACATCAAACTGCCTACATCTTGGAATGGAGCGCAGCGGTGTTGAGGCCTGCTCAGTGTCTGGTTGGAGGCTGCACCGGTCACACCCTACACATGCGCAATCGGGTGCACATAAACCTTTGTGTAGGGGCCCGCCATTCACATGCACCAGGTCACTCAGCAAGCTGCCCTTCCAAGCCACAAGGAGACTAACAATTCTGCTTTATAGATCCCTGAAGAGACCAAGTATGGTCACGCCACCATCCTCAAACAACTGAGGGACAACAAGGAGAGCAAAGGTACATTCCCTAACTCTGCATGAGCCTTGGGTTGGCCCCATGGTATCTGAGCCCCAAAGGGCAGCAGAGAATGACCAAAGGGATCCAAACCAAGTTCTCATATTTGGTCTATGACCAGCTTGCTCTGCAGTCCCTGATAAACTGCTTTCTCCAATTCTCCAGCTAAAGGACAAATGGGCTTAGATAAGCTGACCCCAAAAGGCTCTCCAGACTCACAGTTCATACCAAGTGCAGAAAATGAGAAGGCTTTAACGTAAAGGGGGGCTGGGCACCCTCTAGCTATGGAAAGTGAAAAGCACATGAAGATGAAGCGGGGATTTAGGCAGCAAAAACCTGTCAGGAGAGATGGCAGCTAAAAGCCAAAGGAGGGGAGTATCTTTAACAATCCATAATTAATAAGGTCCATGTGAGTTTAGCCACTCATTCATTTATTTTACTTTTCAGCGCTGGGAACTGAACCCAGGGCTTCACACATGTTAGAATAGTAAGTATCATTAACTATATTCCAAGCCCTCATTTTAAAGCTCTTTGAAATGGGATTGTTTATGCTGGCCTTGAATTCACTCTGTAGCTCAAGCTAACCAGGAACTCTCAGCCTTCCTGCCTCTCAAGTACCTGAGATTATAGCCCTGCGCCACCAAGCCCAGCTATGTAAATGACATTGGTGGAGGGGAAAAGCCCCACGGAGCTCGCATTATAAGGGATTTGCGTATGTTTATCATCTAGACTGACCAGATGTATAGGTGAGCCAGTACAATGGGTTAAGCCTGCCAACTGTTTGCTCTAGTGGGGCCTAGTACAGACCTTAGCCCCCAGACTCTGAAAGCACAGGTACGGGAAAGGGACCGAGGTAAACGAGGAGAGCCTCCAGAAACAGTCTACCTGTGTGGAAAGCCCTCAGCACACAGTGGGGGCAGCCATCCCCACGGGCAACCCTACTCTGAAGAGCACCTGTGGCTACACTACAGACGCATTCTGACAGCAGTGTCCAGGGCTCACATCTCACATGCTCACCACACAAAGACACCGGGGGTAGGCTGAAAAGCCCTTGGGCCCCAGACCTGTTCTCTCGAAAGCCCTTGCCTGCAATTTGATGGACAATAGGAGTATGTCCCCAAGGTCAAGGACACAGGGGCAGGACTACTCCTAGAGGAGGGCAGAATACCGGTAGAAAGACAAAAATCCCTTGAGAATTTGACCCTCTACTCGAGAAGGAAGGAAAATAGTACAAACCACTCCACTTCCCTAAACCTCCGTGGTCCTCAGGGCCAGCTTGCCTTGCTTACCTTCCTCCCAGTCCACAGAACACTCAGGAGCCTGGTCTCCAGGTCATGGCCCAACTGTTAGCCAGACTGGCCAGGGTGCAATGAGGAGGCTCTTCCCAGGGCACATCCGCTGTGGCCTAGAGCCCCTCCTACCCTCACAGTGGAAGAAGGGCCCATAGGAGCAGTCCCAGGCCTCACTGTTCTCTATGGCTTTTTATTCCTATGTGATTCTATTGCTCACTCATATAGGGATTGGAGCCGTGGCGCACGGTGAGGACAGCCAACGGAGGGCTCTGATATTGAGCAAGAGGGCTCAAGGGGAACCAGGCGGGTGGCTGCAGGCCAAGCCAAGGGAATCGCCTCTGCCAGCTGTAACAGGATGGGGTGAGGGAGTGTTGAACCCCTTCATTGCTCTGACCTACCACTCAAGTGCTGGAGACACACCCTGAAATGCTGGCACTGAGGTCCCAACTACGCCCAGAGAAGTAGCCGTGGAATGTGACATGTTTGGCCTGGGATAAACTGACACAGGAGAATAAGATCAATGCCCCACAGCCTGGAAAAACCCCCTGATAACTAGAGAGTGAAGAAGAAAGCTAAGAGTGGTCCAAATACAAAAGGAAGGCCCTTGGTGCCAAGTAGAGAATTTCCATGCAGTCAGGATACAGCAGGAGAGGAGATACCAGGGCCAGGTTGCAGCAGGAAGTTATGGTTAAATGGGTAACTATCCTTAAGCCTTCCCTGTTCACCCACACTGAAGCTGCTAGGAGCCAGATTCAAGCCCCAGATTCCCATCAGCGGACCCTGAGTGTGCCCAGCAAAGAAGGGCGTGAGAAACTGTGAGGTACTGGTGTTATTGCTGGGAACAGACCATGTTCTCCTCCCCAGCAGCCCTCTGGAGATCTGCACTAAGAAGCACAGAGGGAAGATGAGCTGAGACTCCCACAACATGCTCCTTTTTTTATTTTCAGACTCCTTAACTTCACTCCATGGAAGAAAAAGGCTGAGGACCTGGGGAGAAGGGCCTGGGGAGAAAATGAGGACTGTGAACTGGCCAAGGAGCTTCTTCTGGCCCTAACCTGCTGCCATGACAGAAAGTAGGGGTTGAAAGGAGACCCCACCTTCTAACCTAGTTGTGGGAGCGAATATAAAGTAAACCTGTGGAGGGTGGGTGGAAATCCAAGGAGCTAGGCTAAGGAGAGGGGGAGTCCTAACGTGACCTGAGAGGTAGCCCATGATCTTGTTAGGAGATTCTGCCCTTGCAGGCCTCTTATACAGGCTCAAAATGGGAACTTATGCCATCACCGAGGATGAAAAATCAGAAAGTGGACATCCATGACATTGGTCCCTGTCAGCCCTGTATGTAGCAAATGTGTTCCACCCTGGAGGCGGCAAAAGAAGGTGTATGAGTCATTCTGGGCAAGGAAAGCGCCTATGTCCAGTCCTTCAGCAGAAGCCTGGCTGACAAGATCAGACATGACCCAGGCCCCAGCCACTTCTGTAGGCCCATCCTGTCCATCGGTGCCTCCACTCAGAAAGAGCACATCAATGGGCCCCAGCGGCTGTCTTCCCAGGTCTGCTCCCACATGCAGGGCCAGTTCTTGGTTCCGACCACCCTTGCCAGATCCCTGCAGCTCAACTGTGGGCTCCCCACCAGCCAGGAGGCAGACTGGGCCTTCAGCCTTTGCCACAGCTTCCAGAGCCTCCGCCAGCTGTAGGTCTGGGAGCTGGAGCTCAGCTGCCAGCTGATGGAGTTTTGCCACCTCTTCCTCCAAGGGAGGCCCAGCCATGGATGAAGTAAGGCGGGCTGCAGTCACCCGGGCTAGCAGCCCATAGAACTGGGCCACGCTTTTTACATCACCCTGAATGGCTGTGCTCAACACCCTGGCATGGTAGCCCAGTGCCTCAGCTAGCCTCTGAGCCTCAGCCAGTGCCACAGAATTGGAGCCGATGATCACATTGAGCACATGGCCACAGGTATGTGGCCCATGAGGGTCAGAATCAGCTCGGGAGAGCACAGTCTTCACAGAGCGGGGCAGAGCGGCACGAAGTCCATAGCGATTAAGAATGTGCAGGCAATCTTGCACACTGTGGGTGCTGGCCACCGTAGGACCACTGGCGATCACCTCCAGAGGGTCCCCAATCACATCTGACAAGATGAGGCTTATCACCTAGACAAAAAGCCACAAAATAAGACTCAGTCTGGCCTCCTCCATGTCCCAGAGCCCTTAAGAAAAAACTGGCCCTGAGTGTGCAGTACCTGTACGCTTCCTTGCCCACATCCATCCACTTCTTGCAGCTTTCTGGTGGGCTGGGAGAACACCTAACCAGGGAATCTGCCTCTTACCCTTTTTTTGGCCTCCTCCCAGGACTTCCTTTGACAAGGCTCCTGCCAACTTGTATGTTGGCCTGAGCTTTCATCTACCTGTCACCTGTGGGGAGCCACAGGCTGGCTGAAGAAGTGATTAATGCACCTGAGCAGGGTAGGCGGCCTGAGCCAACCCTCCACCTTTCAGCTGGGACAGGGCCTTTCGGATAGTGTTCAGTTCCTGGATTGTGGCTCCACGGGCTGCCAACAGCTTGGTGAGCGTCTTTTTCTCCTCCAGTGTGACAGGTGGGATGGGTGCAGGCAGCAGGGCTGAGCCCCCACCTGCAGAGACAGGGAGGGTGTCAGGTTCCAGACCCAGGGAACCAGGCAGGCCACAGGGAAGTGGACTAAGATGGTGGAGTTACAGTGCCACCCTGTGGACATGGAATAAAGGTGTCCCCTACCTGGGGTACTCTACATCCCAGAAGACGCTGGAAAGCTGGGTATAAAGCTTGGTAGCAAAGCCTCTGTGAAGCCCTGAACCCGATCCCCAGTGCCACAAAAATAACAAAGCAAATTTAAAGGTAAGGAAAAGAAAAAACAGCAGATAACTAAGGAGAGAGTTCTGTGGGAGCTGGAAACAGTTTTTAGAACCTGGCTGATACTGTGGCAGGCAGCGACATTTTCCAAAGGTTCTGATGTGTGTTAGCATTAGGTGCCCAGCTGTGCCCTCAGAATGATCAGGAGGAGCACCTCACAGCTCAGGACAGCTGTCTGACTGGACACTACCCACAAGGTTCCCTCCAGGTGCCTCACTGTCTCCCTAGGTCCCGACTCCACCCTGTGACCATGGGTCACCTTCTCTCGGATCTGGTATTTGGGGCATCACTGTCAGCTGTTCTCAGCTGATCTGGGACTCGAACCTGAGATGAGCACAAGCAGCAGGTCATCAGCACTGAGCCCCTCTGCCAGCTGCTGGATGGCCAGTGCAGCCCGAAGTGCGTCACGATCTGGTAAGTTGTTTTCTGCACCCTCAAACACCTGGATGTGGCTGTGTGGCTTCAGGAGCATCTCTCTGAGGAGGGAGCAAACAGGGAAGAAGAAATGGGGTGGGCTCCTCCCCAACCACCACCTTGACTTTTGAGCAAGGATGCCCATTGACGCCTATCTTGAAACCAGGCGAGGCCCAAGAGATAGGGAGGCCAAGGACGGACGAAGGGAGGTTTTCCTCCACAGGGCAGTTCAGGGCAGCCCTCCCCCGACGCCACAGATTCTTACTGCTTTCCAGAATGCTCCATAGCAGCCCGGATCCCCTTGGGAACGCTGATCACACCCTGCACAAGATGCTGGCCCAGTAGCTCCTCAGCTGCAGCCGCCATACCCAGGACAGCCTTGCCGAAACCCACTAGGTAGAGGTTTTCCTGTAGCTGAAAGCTCCGATCCCGCACCTTCAGCTGTCTGCCACTTGGATCCAAGGACAGTGCCCTTTGCAGCATGGGCCCTGGCTGCACGGCTCCCACAGCGTTCTCAAACAGCTGCCGGGCCTGTTCTGCCAAGGCCTTACCACTAGCCATCCGGGCCACTGGAGGTCCCCAGAGGAATGGACGTGACGGGGCTCGGAGGAGACAGGGCAGGACCTGTAGGGTTGCAGCCATACCCTGCTTCTCTCAGCACTGCCTTGTATTCATAGCTGCCTAGAGAGGGAGGAGAATGAGTGAGGCCACAGACACCACCCCACCATCATGGACACCCCTCTGAGGGCTCAGGGCTGGTGGATTCCATAGCCATGGCTGTGAGAATGAACCACCTGAAATGAAAACTGAAGGCAAAGTCATCAAGCCTGCAGCAAACCTGATCTTACTCCAGTCCTGAAAGCCCAGCCCTGACACCCCGCCACGTCCTCTTCTTCTGTAAACCACACACCAATCTTCTAGACACTCTGCCCCAAGTCCAAAGTTCCTGTTAAGTGGACCGTCCTCCTAGGTCACCTCCTTTGCCAGGCAGTTAATCATTCACAGAGTAAGTCATTCCTACCGGTGGGCTCCTGTACCATTCTTTTTCCACACCTGTACTTCCAAGCCCTCCCATCAAGGCAGTGCCCCTTTCTGACATTTCTGCTCTATCTCTTTACCATTTCTACTACCAAAAGGGGGGAGGGCTGCTGGTTGTCCCACCAGCTGAGCTCAAGCCCACTGACCTCTAGCCTGCTCTATTTCATTAACTCGTAAGACTAGTCTGGGAATGCTGGGTCCGTGTGGAAAGGAATCTCACAACCCAAGGAATCGCACAACCCAGACTAGTTCAGCAAGAGGTCCAGATACAAATCAGGGGAAGCTACAAATCTGTCTCAAGGTGAGACCTTTGGCAAGGTGAGACCTTTCCCAGGTTATATGAAAGAAGACTGTGCTGTGGGGCCCAATCTACAGGACAAAAAAAAAAAAAAAAGTCCTTCTACCCACACAGCTGATCAGTATCAGCCTTGCCAGGAACACCCCTTTCTGGCTCCAGGATAGCAAAACAAGTCCTGAGTTACACCACTCATAGCAGAAAGAGCCCCGAGCTGGAGCAGGCAAAGGCCAGGCTCCAGTAACTGCCCAATCATTTTCCCCAATGGTCAGAGTAAAAACCAGAAAGGTCTTGGAGTAAAGGTCAGGAAGCTATACAGGGTAAATATAGGAACAATAAAACCAGAGATGGAAGGGTCCTGGAAAGTAAACCCAGAGTTTTGCACGTGACAAGTATGCACTCTACCACTGAGCTACATTAAAGCCCCTAAAAACAGGCAATTTATTGTAATTTATGCTGAAAGACAGCTGTCTCAGTAAGCATGGATAGAAGAGGAGGGAGTCTAGGAATTGGGGTTCTAGCTTTTTTAAGGTGTATAGTATATCTTTTCTCAGTCTGAGCTCATTTGCAAGATGAGAGGTGGGGTGAAATGAACCTAATTCTCTCAGGGAACTTGAAAGTGTAGAGCTGTGGGAAAGACCATCCCTATCATGCCTACAGTCATAGAATTCTCCACAGTGGTGGAAGACTGACATTCTCGTTTTCCTGACACTTCAGGCTTTCCAATTCTCTGTCCAAAGTAACAGAGAAAACTCCAGATAACACTTTATCCCACTCCTAAATAATGTGGCGACTTCCAGACCTGTGCCATTTAGCCTTGTAGTTCACAGCAGCTGGCTTCCCCCACCCCCTGGCGGGGAAAACAAAAAACAAAAAAAAACCAGCTAGCTGTGTTGTGATAAGGAATACACGGGGCCGCTGTGGGATGTCTGTACACATGTCCAGTTTTCGTGTAAGGGACCACTGGGGTCGGGGACAAGCCCATCTTAGCATCTAAAACATAATGCTCAGGCCTAGATGAACTTTCTATTTCACAGAGGGGCAAAAGCCTAGAAGATCCCCAATAGAATCCAGGGAAAAAAAAAAAAATGTTGAAGACCAAAACTGCCAGATAAAAGGAGTTTTGGTGAAATTTAAATTTCTGATAAGTAACTTTTTATTATAACTACGATCAGCATACTTGGAATTATTTGTAACTAAATATTACGTTGTGGTAAATCTAAATTTAATTGGACGACTTGCATTTTCAGTTGCCAAATTTCCTATTAAAGACACTACACCTTCCCAGCTCCTGTGCACCCGGGTTTCTTTAGCAGACACGCGAAGACCAGCCTACACTCCTCCCGGAACCAAGTGGAGCTGACATCACGTCCGGATTTGGCCAACCGCCAGGTGACCGGAAGTGACGTCGCCCGAGGCTGGTAGCCTGTAATCTAACGGAGGAAATGTAACGTTACCGCGCAGTGTTAGCTGTCGCAAAATTAGGGAGCTGCTGTCGCCTGGATTTTCTTCTGTCCGGGCCAGGAATGATTTTCAAGAACCATGTATGTCCTTGAGACGCAAACTTTCCGCAGCTTCCAGCGCTGGAGAACCGGAAGTACTCTACGTGGGTGGGGATTAATCCGGAAATGGCCGGTCTGGGGTCGCCCTAGAGACCAGGAGCGTGGATTAGAACTTTAAAGCCTCACTGACCGCCAGAAAACCTGAAAAGATGCATATAGAGGCCCCCGGTTTGTGTATTCCTGCAGCGGATTCTTAGTGATTTGTAATGATCCTTTCCTCTTCATCCCGTTAGATCTAGTCAGTCATCAAATACACCCTGAATTCCTGTTAGGTGCCAGATAACGGGCTGAACCGTCCGAGAGAACACACTCCTCTAGAGAGAGATTTAAGGTCATCAATGCTCCTCCGCATCATGTAATTCCATGGCAATTCATTGATGTTTATCTTATTTCCCATAAGCCACCCCATACTGCTAACTCAGCAAAAGATGTCTGTTCCTTGATCTTTGAACACACAAGTGCAAACTGCCTGTAATAAAAAATAAACGTAAGCCTTCTTCCTCCCTTCCCCTGCTCTCACCTTGTATCCACTGTGATCCAAGCATAAAGCCTTCCTACATTCGAATATCAACTATTGGCTGAGTCCACATTTTTGTTTTGTTTTGTCTTTGGTTACTGATGGAAAGGATTTCTTCAAACATGTTTCCTTGAGAAGTTTTGTTTTTTTACCCCGCCTTCCACGACACATCCCGGGACACACTTTTTAGCCTAAGCTGGCTTCAAGTTTATGATCCTCCTGCCTCAGCTTGCAGAGTACTAAAATTGCAGGTGTGTACTACTGTGTAATCGAGACGCTTAATCCCCACCCCCACCACTCCACACCCCATATCTAAATTTCCTTACTTTGTGCTACTTCACCCACTCAGCAACGTCTCTTTCCCTTTTGTGGAATCCCTTCCGAAGACATTTCTGTTCCCCTGTCAGTCTGGGAAACCCAGTGGGATCCTGTCTCAAAATTCCTTTAGATAAATAAATATAAATAAATAAATAAATAAATAAATAAATAAATAAATAAATAAATAAATAAATAGATGGATGGATGGATAGATAAATAAATAAATAAATAGATAAATAAAGGGATCCTGTCTCAAAATTCCTTTAAATAAATAAATAAACAAACAAACAAATAAATAAACGAGGAAAAAAAAGAAATTCTAAGTTTCTGTTTGTTTGCAGGGCAATAGAAATAAATACAAATAAGAATTAGATCACGGGGCTAGAGAGATAGCTCAGCAGTTAAGAGCACTGACTGCTCTTCCAAAAGGTCCTGAGTTCAATTTCCCAGCAACCACATGGTGGCTCACAACCATCTGCAATGGAATCTGATTTCCTCTTCTGGTGTTCGTGAAAAACAGAGTGTTCATATACATAAAATAAATAAATAAATCTTTATTTTAAAAAAAAGAATTAGATCACTTTAATACCATGCAGGAATTTACAGTTCAGTGGGCATAATCTTCTTGCTGTTAAATGTGTCTTGTAAATAGTGTAGGAATGTCAATAGAGTACTTTTTTAAAAGGTTCAGGGAGCCGAAAAGATGGTTCAGTGGTTAAGAAAATTTGTTGCTCTTGCAAAGGTCCTAGGCTCCGTTCCTAGCACCCAGGGGACAGAATGATAGAATTCCAGATATCCGGAATTCCAGTTCCAGGGAAAGTGATGCCCTCAACTGACCTCCTCAGGCATCAGACATTCATGTGGTACACATACATACATGAGGCAAACATTTATACACATAAGGAAATCTTGGTTTTGCTTTAGTTGGAGACAGGGCTGGGACTGTAGCTCAGCTGATACAATACTTGATTAACATGCACAAGGCCCTGGTCTGATCCCTGCCCATTACATAAACCAAACCAATGGACCGTAAAGATGCACACCTATAAATCAACATTTAGAAGAATGAGGATGTCAGAGTCATCCTTGTCTATGTAGTTTAAGGTCCGTCTAAACTACATGAGACCTTGTCTCAAAAAAAAAAAAAAAAAAAAAAAAAAAAAAAAAAAAAGAAAAGAAAAGAAAAGAAAAAAATGGGGGACTGAAAAGATAGATCAACAGCTTAGAGCACTCTTCCAAAGGACAGATTCTACTCCCAGTACCCACATGACAGCCTACAACCGCCTGTAAGTTCCAAGAGATCTAGTGCCCTCTTCCAGCCTCTGAGGGCACCATGTCCTTTGCACTTACACACATGCATGCAAAACACTCACACATACATACAAATTTAAAAGATGTAAATTCATTAAAACAATAAATGAAAAGCACCTGAACAATAACACCCAAGGCTCTCTTTTGGCCTTCACGTAAACGTACAAACACACACACACAGATACAAAATAGGCAAGTTATCTGCAGGTCTAATGTCTGGCCGTGGTTTTATTTCTGTTTCCAAAATGACATCACTGTATCCTCCTGAGGAAATAAAATACGACTTCACAGAGAGAGAGAGTGGAAGGGTCTGTTAGAAGAGGCCTTAATCTCATTTACAATGAACATACCCTCAGGAACTAACTATCTCTGAAAGTACTTTTTTTAACCTGGGTTTTGTTTTGTTTTATGTTTTGAGACAGGCTCTCACTATGTAGTCCTGGAACTCACTATATAGAACAGATTCACAGAGATCTGCCTGCCTGTGTCTCTGGAGTGCTGTAATTAAAGGCTTACATCACCACACCTGATAAAGACCCTACTTCTTAACATTATTGCATTGAGAACAGGGTTTCAACAGGAAATTTTAGAGAGATACAAATATTCCAACAATAGCAGCTCTCAGTGGACTGGAAGCCAAACCTAAATGGAAGATTTCTGAAGACAACTAATTGGAATTCTATGATTCTGGAGAATTAGAATGTTGCACATCTAGAGCTAAAATTATCTTGGGAAAATTTTAGTTCCCTTGAGTTTTTATTATTGCTTAGGTCTGGTTTGGTTTGGTTTGGTTTGGTTGATTTGGTTTGGTTTTTCAAGACAGGGTTTCTCTGTGTAGCTTTAGCTGTCCTGGACTCGCTGTGTAGACCAGGCTAGCCTCATACTCACAGAGTTCTGCATGCCTCTGCCTCCCTGAATGCTGGGATTACGGGCATGCACCACCATGCCTGGCTTCGTCTGGTGTTTCTTAACATTTATTTTTAGTTATTTGTATGTGTGTGCCTCTATGAGGGTATA